TTTGACAATACCAGGATGATGCCTATATTTTAAGCCATTGGTAAAAATCACATTTAATGTTTCATCATCGAGTATAGCTTTTGGCTTTGCTGACAACTAAAAATGCAACTCTTATATTATCATATTCTAATCTTATTTATTATATCTTATTTATTATACCGTAATACGTAACAAAATAGCAACAGAAATTTAACTGTTGCTTAAGCTTACTGAAAAACTTGCGACATGACGCACATACGTACCGACAATGCATCGCCCGAGGAATTCATTTCGCCGAAAATAATCCGACGTGATCAGTAATCTTGTTCGCGCGTATGACAACTCGAGTATCGCGTGAACGTCAAGCGCGTCCTAATCGTCGTTTTGACCAGTGATGAAAGATTGAGCCGGCTAGCACCGAGAACACTGAGGTAGTGGGAACCAATAAGAACACGCACACAAGCGAAAACCGTCGTAAACTTGTACGCAAGTTTTCTTCACTAGTATACTACCCGTACAACTACTATTAAAACTAAAATTGTCCTAACACCGTGCTTACTCGATCGACATTTGTAGTACTAGGAAGCGTTTTAACACCACCTTTCTTTTTTATATACTTAACCGCAACAACTAATGCAACAATGATTATTATTACAACTAACGTACCACTAACGGAAATAGTACAAATTACGTGAGGATGAACGTCTTTTCCCGACCGCGCGTTATCCATGTTTTCCATCACCTTACTAATTCGTGTATTTAATCTTGTTAACTCTTCTCCATTTACTACGTTTTTTAATTTTACGGGTGTAAAACTAGTTTTTTTTTGTGTGAGTGCGATTTCCGGTACCGACAAGTTATACTCAGGTAAGTATACTTTCACGTCAGTACCGCGTGACCCCTCTCTTGTTTTGATGTACATCTCGCGCGTCAGCATCTTACAATTTTCAGATAAGGTCACTCTTGGTCGCAACCACTGTGGACGACAGACGCACTGACGGCATTCCCGACGATCCAGCGTTCAACAACGAAATTTAGCGATTTTTCTGGATGGAGAGCGACGACGACGTACGGTGAGATACTCCCTCGTTTAATTATGAGCCACAAGTCCGCGTTACCCGAGTCTCGTGTCGAGGCTAGTCGCTGAATCTCGCGTGTTAATACCTGCAAGGACATAAGCTTCGCCATAATTTCGAATTTTCGGCAGCGGCTAGAATCGGACTTCACGGGGCTTCGTGGTATTAGCAGTGTGCTCAGCTTTGACTCTCTTACAGCACGCTGCAGCAAGTGGAGGAAATACGCACACAGGCGAGCAGCCGTGTACGTGTGCGCTCGACGCTACGGCCGTCTTCGGGCGGTAGAAAAGAACAGAGATATGTCTACTGTCTCTTTTTTTCGACATAGCTATAGCGTAGGCGTATACGCGGCTAAGCCTCGCGCTAGCAGCTGTTTATCATTTTTTGCCGTTTTTGTCCACGGTCTTGCACTTCTTTACTTACAGAAACATTTCGATTAAATAAAAAAATATTAACACCATAAAAGACTTAGAAAAATGAAACATATGAGGAGCACAAATAAAAAATAAAAAAAATATAATTCTACTCTTAGCCACAATATGTACGTATTTTGTTTTAAACAAAAAAAAGAAAAGTATACTTAATTATACAGTTAGCAAAATTATTGTTAATATGAAATACATAGAGATAAAAATATATTTTAATGGTGTTTGTTACGTAAAAAGTATTCTGTTAGTATACTTTTTACTTTGTACTCACAATTACATATAATATAAATTAAACGAAAAAAAGTATTCTTGCAAAAAGAATTTTATTGTATTTATGAAACGAACTACGTACACATTGTTGCTCAACGGAAACCTCAAGAAGGTGGTGGTTTCTAGCGTCAAAAACAATATAAATCATTTGTTTTGTTCAATATTGTAATAAATGTTTATATATACGTTTTTTAGCATAAAAAATAATAATACTTAAAATAATTGAAATAATTCTACATGTTATGTTGTAGTATAAAACAATGTTTCAATAAAAATATAAATAAATACAAATATATAAAAAGTACTACATTATTTACAAATCCAATGTTGTGTATTTCCAAAAAGAATATAGATAAAACAGAACAGGTAAAAGCTTAGATAGAAAAGATAGAAGTAGAAAAGATAGATGGAATAAGAAGATATAAAAGAAGAAGAAAAAGATAAAGAAAGAACAAATAGAATAGATAAAAAAATTGAAAAAAATCCCGGACAGCACAAACTTTCAAGTAACATCTTAAAAACATTCAAAGTGTGTCCTTAAAAATAGCACATTTTCCGGATATCTTAAGGACATATTTTGCAGGTCTATACTGTCTGGAATAAGAAAAAAAATACAACATAAAAAAGACACGCAATACATAGAGAGTGTTATGATTATTGTAAAGTCACTTTACACGCGTTACAATTGACAACAGAAGTCAAAACAAAAATATTTAAGATAATAATGCATCTATAAATAAATAAATATATATATATAATAAATCTACATACACAACTAAATAAATATATATATAAATATAAAGTAGAAGATAGAAGATATAA